CTGAACTAGAACTGAACTAGAACTGAACTAGAACTGAACTAGAACTAGAACTAGAACTGAACTAGAACTGAACTAGAACTGAACTAGAACTGAACTAGAACTGAACTAGAACTGAACTAGAACTGAACTAGAACTGAACTAGAACTGAACTAGAACTGAACTAGAACTGAACTAGAACTGAACTAGAACTGAACTAGAACTGAACTAGAACTGAACTAGAACTGAACTAGAACTGAACTAGAACTGAACTAGAACTGAACTAGAACTGAACTAGAACTGAACTAGAACTGAACTAGAACTGAACTAGAACTGAACTAGAACTGAACTAGAACTGAACTAGAACTGAACTAGAACTGAACTAGAACTGAACTAGAACTGAACTAGAACTGAACTAGAACTGAACTAGAACTGAACTAGAACTGAACTAGAACTGAACTAGAACTGAACTAGAACTGAACTAGAACTGAACTAGAACTGAACTAGAACTAGAACTGAACTAGAACTGAACTAGAACTGAACTAGAACTGAACTAGAACTGAAGTAGAACTGAACTAGAACTGAACTAGAACTGAACTAGAACTGAAGTAGAACTGAAGTAGAACTGAACTAGAACTAGAACTGAACTAGAACTGAACTAGAACTGAACTAGAACTGAACTAGAACTGAACTAGAACTGAACTAGAACTGAACTAGAACTGAACTAGAACTGAACTAGAACTGAACTAGAACTGAACTAGAACTGAACTAGAACTGAACTAGAACTGAACTAGAACTGAACTAGAACTGAACTAGAACTGAACTAGAACTGAACTAGAACTGAACTAGAACTGAACTAGAACTGAACTAGAACTGAACTAGAACTGAACTAGAACTGAACTAGAACTGAACTAGAACTGAACTAGAACTGAACTAGAACTGAACTAGAACTGAACTAGAACTGAACTAGAACTGAACTAGAACTGAACTAGAACTGAACTAGAACTGAACTAGAACTGAACTAGAACTGAACTAGAACTGAACTAGAACTGAACTAGAACTGAACTAGAACTGAACTAGAACTGAACTAGAACTGAACTAGAACTGAACTAGAACTGAACTAGAACTGAACTAGAACTGAACTAGAAACTGAACTAGAACTGAACTAGAACTGAACTAGAACTGAACTAGAACTGAACTAGAACTGAACTAGAACTGAACTAGAACTTGAACTAGAACTGAACTAGAACTGAACTAGAACTGAACTAGAACGTGAACTAGAACTGAACTAGAACTGAACTAGAACTGAACTAGAACTGAACTAGAACTGAACTAGAACTGAACTAGAACTGAACTAGAACTGAACTAGAACTGAACTAGAACTGAACTAGAACTAGAACATAACTAGAACTGAACTAGAACTGAACTAGAACTGAACTAGAACTGAACTAGAACTGAACTAGAACTGAACTAGACTGAACTAGAACTGAACTAGAACTGAACTAGAACAAGAACTGATCTAGAACTAAACTAGAACTGACTAGAAAGACAAATTTTAATAGATTTCTATAAAAAGCACACATTTTTGAAAAATGTCATTAAAAGAAGACAAATTTTCGAAAATTTTTGTATAAAAAGACAAATTTTCTAAAAACTTCTATAGCAAAAACAAATTTTCGAAAGATTTCTGTAAAAAAGAAACATTTTCGATAGATTTCCTAAAAAATGAATTTTCCATAAAATTTTATATAACATTCATAATTTTATTTGTGTTTTAATGAAGTCGCAGACCTTCAAAGACTTTAAAAGATAGAGAAACACATGCCAAAATTATACAGTTAAGTTCATCTCTCAAATAATATAAACAATTTAGAAGTGTAGGGTATAACAAGTAATTTATTACAGTAACTAAGAGATTCAAAAAATAAAAAGAAAAAAAAAAAACAAAAAATCTTATTCACACTTTAAAATGTAAACAAAAGGGGGGTGACTGACTGAATGCCTGACTAAATTACATACATATATGTATTGTTTTTTATATAAAATTTTCTGACTATATTTGGTACCAAACCATGTCAAGGTCGTTTAGTTTTTTTTTTTCTATAAATTGTACTTAAATTGTTTAATCAATTAAATAACTAAATTTGTACATTTACAATATAAACTTTTGTTATTGTTTATTGTTACAAAACTATAGCAAAAGAATAAAAAATAAAGATCAAATTAATTATATAGTGAGTTTTTTTTCTAATTTATTATTTAAACAATTGCTGAGCATCGTTATCACATAATTGATAATGACTTTGAACAAAAAATTTAAATAAACAAAGTATAAAGTTAAGTAATGTTTTATTATGCCGTAATACAATTAATTGTGTATGAAATTTTGCGAAATCTGTTTAAAATTTTATTAAAAAAATAAAAGTTCTGGAACTGGAAAAAACTATTTTGAAAAAAAAAAAAAAAAAAAAATTATAAAACACAAATTTTCAAAAATTTTTCCAAAATTTACTACTGAACTTTTTTTATTCAAAATTTTTTGAAAATTGTTCAATAAATTTCGAAAATATTCTATAAAATTAAAATGTTTGGATTTCTTTTATAGAAAGAGATTTATTTACGAGGTGGTACTGATTTCTTTGCTCTTATAGTTTGACTCTTCCTTGTAGTCTATGGTTGTTGTTGTTGTAACAGGTTGACTGTAACTGGATGTTCTTCCCTGGGGAAAAAACTTCTGGTTGCTGAGTTTACAATCTTTGGCCGATTGAGAATCGGGTCGTTCCGGAGCGGAGATCCAATTGTGTGGGAACAGTAGTCTATGGTGGCTAATGATGCTGTGGGCACCATCATTAGTATTTCGGTATAATTGTCGGGGATAGTAGTAACAGCCTTTACAATTCCCTTAAACTGAACTAGAACTGAACTAGAGCTGAACTAGAATTAAACTAGAACTGTGCCCCGTTTCTGTAATTCTCGCATCGAGAAAATCTGTCGAAAAACTCATGATCATCTTGTGTAAAACAGGGTGAATACAAGAAATTTAAAAATTTCTTATTAAATTTTAATGAGTAGAGTTTAAAAATAATCTGAGTCACACTGTTAAAAACTGGAAGACTATTATATTTTAAGCTTTTTCTCGATTCGAGAAAATTACAGAAACGAGGTACTGAACTAGAACTGAACTAGAACTGAACTAGAACTGAACTAGAACTGAACTAGAACTGAACTAGAACTGAACTAGAACTGAACTAGAACTGAACTAGACTGAACTAGAACTGAACTAGAACTGAACTAGAACTGAACTAGAACTGAACTAGAACTGAACTAGAACTGAACTAGAACTGAACTAGAACTGAAACTAGAACTGAACTAGAACTGAACTAGAACTGAACTAGAACTGAACTAGAACTGAACTAGAACTGAACTGAACTAGAACTGAACTACAACTGAACTAGAACTGAACTAGAACTGAACTAGAACTAGAATTGAACTAGAACTGAACGAAATGAACTAGAACTGAACTAGAACTGAACTAGAACTGAACTAGAACTGAACTAGAACTGAACTAGAACTGAACTGAACTAGAACTGAACTAGAACTGAACTAGAACTGAACTAGAACTGAACTAGAACTGAACTAGAACTGAACTAGAACTGAACTAGAACTGAACTAGAACTGAACTAGAACTGAACTAGAACTGAACTAGAACTGAACTAGAACTGAACTAGAACTGAACTAGAACTGAACTAGAACTGAACTAGAACTGAACTAGAACTGAACTAGAACTGAACTAGAACTGAACTAGAACTGAACTAGAACTGAACTAGAACTGAACTAGAACTGAACTAGAACTGAACTAGAACTGAACTAGAACTGAACTAGAACTGAACTAGAACTGAACTAGAACTGAACTAGAACTGAACTAGAACTGAACTAGAACTGAACTAGAACTGAACTAGAACTGAACTAGAACTGAACTAGAACTGAACTAGAACTGAACTAGAACTGAACTAGAACTGAACTAGAACTGAACTAGAACTGAACTAGAACTGAACTAGAACTGAACTAGAACTGAACTAGAACTAGAACTGAACTAGAACTGAACTAGAACTGAACTAGAACTGAACTAGAACTGAACTAGAACTAGAACTGAACTAGAACTGAACTAGAACTGAACTAGAACTGAACTGAAACAGAAAATGTTCCTCTAAATTTGTATATTTTATTTATTTATTATTTATTTATCCATTTCTTTTTTTTACTTAGCAATTATTTGTTGTAAATGTAAAATGACATCATCTTCACAGATCAAGTATTATAATGATTATTACATACTAATTGCTTTGTCTGTGGGATTTCATTGAACAATAAAGAGTTCAGCATTTAGTATATTACTAGTGTATTCAATTGAATTAAGCAGAATATAACGAATATTTTAATTTACTTTCTCTCCCTTGGAATTAATAAATAAATTATTATAATATTGTCAAACATTAGCATCAAGTAGAGAGAGATTGGTAGTAGAAATTATATTTGTAATATCTATGTATATTATCGTCCCAAATTCTCAAAAAATTAATAGAAAGAAATAACAGTTTATTCTTCATTCATAGTTAATTTCTTGTAGAAAATAAAACCATTTTTTACCATTTATTTAAAATTCTGCATTGAAACAAAAAATACATTTAAAATATTTCGTTTTAATTACTTAATATTCCTTTGTTGATTTGTCTGATAATTTTATTTCCATATAGTATAGTTAATCTACTTTCTTTGTAAGCCTTTTGTTGTGATTTGTTGTTGTTGTTGTATTTGCATTTAAAGAAAATATATATTGTACTCTTGGTGATAAGATAAGAAACAAATATTCCTCCATATGACAAGAAACTCGCTTAAAAACTTTTAATAATCGTATAAGTACACACATGTTGTTTGTTTATATACAAATAAATATCTATTTTTAAAATTTGTATTATTTAACACACTCTTATAACTCTCTATTTTTCCACTTACTCTCTTTTTAGCTTAATAACTCACCAAAAAGAAGAGAAATTGTTTTGTTGTGATTAAAACTAAAAAAACGCGGGTTTAGCTAAAGCATTTAAACAACCTTACGACCAGTCTTTATAACAACTTGAAAAACATGGGTCAATTGGTTGTTAAATTGGCGCAGCCGGTAAATAATGTTGCCCATATATTGGGTGGTCGCCGCAAACGTAAGCGTAGTATAGATTCTTGCCATTCAAACAGTGAACAGAGCAACAATGAAACCCGGTCACCTAAAAAGTAAGTAGAGTTTTTCATTTTAATGAAATGTTTTTCAATTGATTTGCTTTTCCTTTTGTTTTTAGAAAAAAACTCTTAACTACCACTCAATACATCTATCAGGCCCTGTTTAAAGAACAGAAAAATTCCGATATTGCCATTATGGCTATGGGCAAAGTATGGAATCTGCACAAAGTCTATTTATCACAAAGTCCTTATTTTTATAGTATGTTTAATGGTTCGTGGAAGGAGTCATGTCAAGATTTTGTTCATATTAAAATTTTGGACGAAAGGATTACTTTGGAAGGTGAGTAAAAATTGTGTTTGTTATAAGGAAGAAAAATTCCTAAAAAAACAAAATGTTTCTTTTAAAAACTAGAACTAGAACTGAACTAGAACTGAATTAGAACTGAACTAGAACTGAACTATAACTGAACTATAACTGAACTAGAACTGAACTAGAACTGAACTAGAACTGAACTAGAACTGAACTAGAACTGAACTAGAACTGAACTAGAACTGAACTAGAACTGAACTAGAACTGAACTAGAACTGAACTAGAACTGAACTAGAACTGAACTAGAACTGAACTAGAACTGAACTAGAACTGAACTAGAACTGAACTAGAACTGAACTAGAACTGAACTAGAACTGAACTAAAACTGAACTAGAACTGAACTAGAACTGAACTAGAACTGAACTAGAACTGAACTAGAACTGAACTGGAACTGAACTAGAACTGAACTAGAACTGAACTAGAACTGACTAGAACTGAACTAGAACTGAACTAGAACTGAACTAGAACTGAACTAGAACTGAACTAGAACTGAACTAGAACTGAACTAGAAATGATGTAGAACTGAACTAGAACTGAACTAGAACTGAACTAGAACTGAACTAGAACTGAACTAGAACTGAACTAGAACTGAACTAGAACTGAACTAGAACTGAACTAGAACTGAACTAGAACTGAACTAGAACTGAACTAGAACTGAACTAGAATTGAACTAGAACTGAACTAGAACTGAACTAGAACTGAACTAGAACTGAACTAGAACTGAACTAGAACTGAACTAGAACTGAACTAGAACTGAACTAGAACTGAACTAGAACTGAACTAGAACTAACTAGAACTGAACTAGAACTGAACTAGAACTGAACTAGAACTGAACTAGAACTGAACTAGAACTGAACTAGAACTGAACTAGAACTGAACTAGAACTGAACTAGAACTGAACTAGAACTGAACTAGAACTGAACTAGAACTGAACTAGAACTGAACTTGAACTGAACTTGAACTGAACAAGAACTGAACTAGAACTGAACTAGAACTGAACTAGAACTGAACTAGAACTGAACTAGAACTGAACTAGAACTGAACTAGAACTGAACTAGAACTGAACTAGAACTGAACTAGAACTGAACTAGAACTGAACTAGAACTGAACTAGAACTGAACTAGAACTGAACTAGAACTGAACTAGAACTGAACTAGAACTGAACTAGAACTGAACTAGAACTGAACTAGAACTGAACTAGAACTGAACTAGAACTGAACTAGAACTGAACTAGAACTGAACTAGAACTGAACTAGAACTGAACTAGAACTGAACTAGAACTGAACTAGAACTGAACGTGAACTGAACTAGAACTGAACTAGAACTGAACTAGAACTGAACTAGAACTGAACTAGAACTGAACTAGAACTGAACTAGAACTGAAGTAGAACTGAACTAGAACTGAACTAGAACTGAACTAGAACTGAACTAGAACTGAACTAGAACTGAACTAGAACTGAACTACAACTGAACTAGAACTGAACTAGAACTGAACTAGAACTGAATCAGAACTGAATCAGAACTGAACTAGAACTGAACTAGTACTGTACTTTAAAAAATGTTACTAATTTTTAACCATTTTTAAAAGTTAAAAAATAATTTATATTTTATTCCTTCCAATTTCTCTCCCAGCTTTGGATGCCGTCTTCGGATCCATGTATTCCGATGAAATCGAAATCGATCCAAAGGGTGTTATATCCGTACTAGCCACTGCAACTTTATTCCATTTAGATGGCATTATCGATAAGTGTGCTGAGGTAATGATTGAAACCATAAACGCTGAAACTGCTATAAATTACTATGAAGCTGCCTGTCAATATGGCTGTCAAAATGTTAAGAAATCCACATTTGCCTGGTTGGAAACCAACCTCTTATGCATTTATACAAAATATCCAAATTTGTTAAGACAAATTAGTATAGAACTAATGACTGCTCTAATAACTAGTCCGGATCTTTATGTGATGCAAACAGAATTCTCACTATATACACTATTACGCACATGGATTTATTTGCGTTTAAATCCAAATTATGATCCCGAAAATCCCCAACATCAACAGGAGTTACAATTGCAATATCAACAACAGCAGCAACAAATAGAAGCTAATAACGCAACATTAGCTTTATCCTCTACCGCTGCATCATCATCCTCATCATCTTCAAACTCTAATACTCCAGCAGAGAGTAATACACCCTCTACTGCTACAGATATTATACAGCAATATTTTACTAATCGCCGCGAGAAACGTTCATTTCTATCAACGCCCGAGGGGCAGCAATATTTGAAACCTTTTCTGGCTTTACGCACACAATACTTAACCAATCATCATATGGATTTGAAAATTGTACTTAATGACAATATTATACCCAAAGAATGGCTGCATCATCATGTTCTAAGTCATTGGAATTCCATACTTAAAGTGGATCATTTGCCAGAAGAGGGGTGAGTATTTAGCAAGAGTTTTTTTGTTTTTGCAACAAGTTTAAAAACATCATCAAATTTGTTTCATGATTCATGAAACTTTATTTAAAGTAGAAGAGTTAATTCAATGACAACCAAAGATATAAGATCTTTAATTTGAAGTACAATTAATTGATGTACAATTTTCTTTATTTAGAATTTACTGATTTGATTTTATTTACAGCATTTTAGTTGTAGCCAAGTTGTGTTCTAATTTTTATTTTAATGTTTTGTTAATTGAATTTCTCTTTTTTATGTTTTGTAGAATTTATTAATAAATCTTTATTATTTTATTTGTTTATTAAATTGTTTTTAGTTGTTATTATTTCTTAGGATATTTTACATGATTATACAAGAGTGAGTGAGAACTGTTAAATCTTAAAGATAAATAATTCAAAATGCGAAACTTAATTTCCAAACATATTCGCCTTTTCATCTAGAATAGAATCTTGTAATTTCTGTTTGCGGTATGAAACCACTTTCAGATTTTAAAGCGGAAATGAATTGTGTAATTATTGTGGTTTCTTAGGTTAGGTTAAGATAGAGAGATATTAAATAAAAAGAAAGAAGATAATGAGAGAGGTTTGGAACAAGACAGAGGTCCAAAGGACTCGGCCTAGTTTTCTGAGTTCACGAAATAGTAGAAATATGAGTGTAGATCGGAATTATCACTATATCGAAAAACCAGATTATTGTCCTAATAAAACTTGACAGGAGAGCAGATTTACTTAAATGCAACAAACTATACGGTTTGTACTCAATAGGGAAACACATAATAGAGAGTCTAATAGCGAATACTTACTAAAAACTCTCCCCAGTAGCGTATGATGGCGTCTGTTTTTCCCTATGGGGCCGCTGCCAGCTTTTGGGTCTGTCGAGTGATTTTCCCTCTCATAATCGAGAGAGTAACTCGATAGCACAGGTTCGTTATTATTGACCTCTTCGACTTAGGTATTTTTCATACCCACTAACGTTTGTTTGCCACATATTGGGCGGCTAGGTATTCTGCTCTTAACCCCATTGTTGAGGCCAAAGGTGGCAATAAGTCAAAATCCCCGAAAATAATGACTGCTGGAAATATACGGTCGGGTGTCAAATCATTTCCTAAGACTATTCCGCGTCGGTGTTTTCAGATCCAAACTAATCTGCGCTAGTGTCTAGTGACCAAGAGATGCTAGCGGGAAGGATTCGGGAAATCCAAGAAAGCACCCCCTATGAAAGGCTGCCGAAACATATTGTTTCGGAACTCCATCCAAAAGACCGATTTTTTCAAAACTTGCCCATAGTATCTTAAACACTTCGCATTCCATTTAACTATTCCTGGATTGGCTGATAGTGTGACGAAATCTATATATGGTTTGGTTTTACACAACAGTCTCTTCTAATTTGGTATTGTATATAATCCTGTCTTGCAATTTCATACGCTATCTCTTTGCCCTGTACATTGCAGTGTCACGGAATCTATCAGAGATCATTCTAGTGTTTTTTTCCACTATACCTAATTAGGGATACGTTCAAAGGTCATGCAAGTTCGTCCGGCACCTACTTGCAATGTACACTAAGGTACAGGAGAGTGTCATAAGTTCACTGAGAGCTTTTCTACATTCTACGAGGAAGACAAGAATGGCATATCAATGACCTGAGTGCAGCCTAAAAGTTCTGCTTTAAAGACACTGCGATCGTCTAAGAAGCAGTTTGAAGCAGTCTTTTTATATCCATGTTAACATTATAAACAACGGCAGCCGCACCAGTGCTCAATTTGCATCCACCTATAAATTCTGCATACCTTCCACAAACAGTTTATCGGACCCAATCCAATCTTCTTTATGTTACTTCTAAGTCAAAAGTCGTAATCAGTTGAAGTCTCATAGAGTCTTAGTATGGCATTGGCTGACACACTTGCTATATACGGCTCAATAGGGGACATATGGTACACCTCTTATAGCACTTATGATGACAGGAGTGTCTTACCTTTGAGCTTTAATGAGTAGCAATAACAGGGAATGGAAAATATTCATCTAATTATGGTTTAACATTGTTTTCGACCTCGTGGAGTCTTATCACGAATAGAACGTTTACTAGTGATGTACAATTTTTCGCAAGTGAATCCGTAATGTTATTAGAAGGTATCTATTGATATCCGACAACTTTCATCAAAAAGCGAAATTCGATCCAAGATAAAAAAGTCTATTTATCTTTTGTATAAAGTTTAGAAATGTTAAAATTAATTTTTAGTTGCTACAGGACCCTGTAGGGGAATGAATGAGATTTGTGTAACATTTGTTCGTCAATTTTTTTACGTTTTTCTTAATATTTACATGATTGTATATCTTTTCAGACCCCAAAATCTCGAAGCCGATGTTTTCTATGAAAATTGTATGCGCTGTGGTCGTATACTCTTGGAGCCGGGCTATCAGAAGTGGCGTTGGACTGGTTTTAATTTTGGTTTAGATCTTATACTAATAGCCGATTCTAGAGTACTTAGTATACGAAGACATCATCGTAATGAACACGAACGTTTGTTGAGTTTACAAACAAAGAGACAGTTTATGATAAGGTAATGAAATTCACAATTGGAAATAAAACTAAAGCATACTTTTAGGCTGAAATAAAATGTTTAATTAAGATAAAATTTTTTAATCAATTTACTTACAATTTTTGAAGAAATTTTCTAACAAATATAAACCATTTTACTTGTTATCTTGCAGAGCTTCCGTTACCTCTATCAACTCTCAAAGGCAACCGACATTTACTCAAAAATCTGATATAACCTCCTTGTGTTTGGAGAAAAATGAAGAAGTTACTTTAATGGTTATGGATGCCAAATTAGTGCATCCTTTATTGATCTCTGTAAATATATTGGTGGTACCACCAACACCCCAGACTTTTAAGCAAAACTTAATATGTGATGAATTTGCCAATGCCTCAGTGCCTATATCGGAAATTGGTGCAAATTGTGAACGTGCCACAACGCCCACCAACGTCAACGATGAGTCGGCTGTTTGTGTTGTGCCACCTTCGCCTCCAAATGCTTTACTAATGCCACCTCAAGCTACACACCGTTCATCCTCAACAACTTCAACAGTATCTAGCACTTCGTCTACGGCTTCGTTTTCCTCTTCTTCTTCAGCAGACTTTTTGTAGAGTTTGTAAATTTCCGAGAGGAGACTTAAATTAAATAATGGTGCTGTGTGATAATAAAACCGCCATAAGTGTTTAAATGCACTCTCGTTATTTTATTGTGAAAAAAAAACAAAAGAAAATATTTGGGGGATTGATTCCAAATTTGTTATTTATTTTTTCATAATTTTTTTTAAATATTTCTACTTTTACTTTTGTAAATATTAGTCTTACAATTTGTTATACTTAATTACTGCAAATTTGTTTTTGCTTTCGTTTTTTTTCCTAAACGCCTTTTTTACACAATTAAATGGTGTGTAAAAATGGTATTGCTATTATGGAAATCTTTTCGTTTCTATATTTGCAAATGAAGTTTAAACAAATTAAATGTAAATTTAGTTATTAAGTTTTTTGTATTTTTTATATTCTTATATATAAAACGTTGTTCTATTCCAAACTAAATAATGAAATTTATAATATATTTTTTTTTGTAAAAAAGAACTAACACTTACAATCTTGGAAATACGTAGTATATATCTTCTAACATATATTTTACTGAATTGATATCTGTGAAATTTTCGAATAAAATTAATTTGTTATTTTCTAACAAATATCTTTTTAAAATTAAAGAAAATAGAAGTTGTTTTATTAATTTAAAAATATTACAATAACAAACTAAAATTTCAATATCCTATACGGTGCCAAATCACAATAAATATTTCAAGACCACAGTTACGGAAGAGAATTGTATTTGTTATTGGCCTTTTGCTTTTGAGCTTAATGCCAAAAGATTCTCTGAAAAGACTTCTGCAGTTGACGTCGAGACGTAAAGAAAGAGAAGAATGTCGCCATATTTCTGTGTCAATTCACGGCCTTATAGTATTACAGGTTTACCACGTTAGAGAGACATTTCTGCACGACTTATTTAACCGACTAACTATAGACTAGACGATAGACTAGACTATTGACTAGACTATAGACTGGATTATAGACTAGACTAAAGACTAGACTATATACTATACTATAAACCAAACTAAAAGCTAGACTATAGACCAAACTATATACTGGAGTAGACCATAGACTGGACTATAGACTATACTATAAACCAAACTATAAGCTAGACTGTAGACCAAACTATATACTAGACTGTAGACTAAACTATAGACTAGACTTTAGACTAGACTATAGACTGGACTATTGACTACACTAGGCATATAGACTAGACTACAGACTAGACTATAGACTATACTATAGACTAGACTCTAGATCAGACTATAGACTAGACTATAGACTAGACTATAGATTAGACTATTGACTAGACTATAGACTAGACTATAGACTAGACTATAGACTAGACTATAGACTAGACTATAGAATAGACTATAGACTAGACTATAGACTTGACTATAGACTAGACTATAGAATAGACTATAGAATAGACTATAGAATAGACTATAGAATATACTATAGAATAGACTATAGACTAGACTTTAGAATAAACTATAGACTAGACTTTAGAATAGACTATAGACTAGACTATAGACTAGACTATAGACTAGACTATAGACTAGACTATAGACTAGACTATAGACTAGACTATAGACTAGACTATAGACTAGACTATAGACTAGACTATAGAATAGACTATAGAATAGACTATAGACTAGACTATAGACTAGACTATGGAATAGACTATAGACTAGACTATAGAATAGACTATAGACTAGACTATAGACTAGACTATAGACTAGACTTTAGACTAGACTATGACTAAACTATAGACTAGACTATAGACTAGACTATAGACTAGACTATAGACTAGTCTACTATAAACAAGACTAGAAACTAGGATAGAAAATAAACTATAGACTAAACTAGATTATAGACTAGACTATAGACTAAACTATAAACTAGACTCGATTATATACTAGTCTATAGACAAGACTATGGAGTAGACTATGGACTAGACTGTAGACTAGATTATTGACTGGACTATAGAATAGACCATAGACTAGACTATAGACTAGACTGTAGACTAGACTATAGACTAGACTATAGACTAGACTATGGACTAGACTATGGACTATACTATAGACTAGACTATAAACCAAAATATAACTTAGACTATAGAATAGATCATAGATTCGATTCTTGACTAAACTATAGAAATTACTATAGACTAGACTAAAGTCTAGACTATAGACTAGACTATAGATTAGACTATATACTAGGCTATAGATTAGACTATAGAATATAATATAGACTTGTCTATAGACTAGACTATACAAAACTATATACTAATTTAGTATTATATATATATAGTTTAGTATTACTAAACTATAGACTAGACTATAGACTAGACCATAGACTAGACTAAAGACTAGACTATAGAATAGACTATAGACTAGGCTATAGACTAGACTATAGAATAGACTATAGACTAGGCTATAGACTAGACTATAGACTAGACTATAGACTAGACTATAGACTATACTATAGACTAGACTATAGACTAGACTATAGACTAGATTATAGACTAGACTATAGACTAGACTATAGACTAGACTATAGACTAGACTATAGACTAGACTATAGACTAGACTATAGACTAGACTATAGACTAGACTTTATACTAGACTATAGACTAAACTACAGACTAAACTATAAACTAGACTAGAAACTAGGATAGAAAATAAACTATAGACTAAACTAGATTATAGACTAGACTATATACTAAACTATAAACTAGACTCGATTATATACTAGTCTATAGACTAGACTATGGACTAGACTATAGACTATACTATAGACTGGACTATAGACTAGATTATAGACTGGACTATAGAATAGACTATAGACTAGACTGTAGACTAGACTATAGAATAGACTATATACTGTAGACTAGACTATAGACTAGACTACTGACTAGACTTTAGACTAGACTATAGACTAGACTTTAGACTAGACTATAGACTAGACTATAGACTAAACTATAGACTAGACTATAGACTAGACTATGGACTAGATTATAGACTAGACTATAGACTAGACTATGGACTATACTCTAGACTAGACTATAAACCAAAATATAACTTAGACTATAGAATAGATCATAGATTCGATTCTTGACTAAACTATAGGCATTACTATAGACTTGACCTTACGTTTAACAAAATGTTTAATTTCTTCTTTTGCAAATGAAACCAGGTTTTCTTTTGGTTTTTGAGGGTTGTTTTTTATTAAATAAATTACCAAAAACAGTTTAAGTTTTTAAATAAACAAGAAACCAAAAAAAAAACATTTAAAATAAATAGTAGTTAAAAAACACCTTAATACCTTTTGTTTAAATACAATTAAAAGGACAAAAAATGTGTATAAAAACATAAAACAACAATTAACATTAAATTTATAAAAAAATAGTACATAGAAAAATATCTAAATACATATTTGCGCCTTAAAATAGAAAATAAACAAGAAGAAAACAACGAAAAAAGTGGAAAAAAGTTACAATATCTTTATAGTATATTTAATATAATAGAAAAATTAAATAACAATTTGATTGTTATTTTCAAAAAGGGGGATAAGTTAAGTTTTAGTAACAAGCCAATTTTCATATAATAACTACATATTTAAAATAAATTCATAATTTAATAATAAAATAATTCTGGGAAGTTGGTTTCATAAATGGGTTTTTCGTTATTGGTTGAAGTATTTTGGGTAGTTTTGTTATCGATGGCTAATGAATTGAATAGATCGTTTAAGCGATTCTGTATGACATCGTGCTAAAAGAAAGAACAATTTTAATCAAATTGCTTTTGAAACAGATTAAAAATTTAAGAATTGTACCTTGGGTTCAGTGCGTTTCATAAGATCTTCAAAATCGCTTTCACGGAAAGTGCGCACAATTTGCATTTGTTTTTCCTGCTGCTCACGTTTAACCGATTCCGAGGGTTCAGCCAAATAACGTTTCATAGCATCAACGGTATATTCAGGAGCCAAAGTTTTCTGCACAAAAAAATCAAAATAAGTTATTTTACAGGTCTTAACATCCCAACTGCAAAACTCTTACCTTCGATACTCCTGGTGAACTACTAATACTGTCGGCATCTGCATTATAGGCTGTCAAATCGGCTGAACTATTTCTTTGTGTCATATTACTACTAACTGTCTCAACCCAAGAGTGTCTGTGGCCCGGATTATCCGATTGATTGAGAGCATATGGTAGTCCAGTTTGTAAACGATTGAAATCCATACCAGCATTTTGTAAACACTCCGCCAATGCCATTTTATCAATGGCCAATTGTGGTACATTCAAATTATATTTACTGCTCGATTTCTTGGGTTCTAATAGCGGTGGTAAGAAGTATGGTGCATCATGTTTACGATCTTCTATGATTTTCTGTGCATATTCGAGTAGATTATTGATGCCGGTAACGCGAGCTGTTAGCGTTAGTAGAGCAATGGAAATGGAGTATAGTGAACACTTGTGTATGTCACTCAAATTTTCGGTGGTTACAGCAACTTGTTGTATACTGGAAGGAAAGAAAGAGGGAGAGAAACATGTAGTTTTGGATTAGTATTTGAAATTATTGAATATTTAGTCAGAACGGGAAACTGTCAGATAAAAATGTTTTGGAACTGATGGCATCACTATTTTAAACGTGGATATAATGTATCCATGTCGGAAGATGAGGAAGAAGAGCTATATTTGACCACTTCTTACGTCACTGTCTCGTATTAGAAGATATTCGCTGTTAAATCTTGAGGCAACAATTAACAACTAACTAACTAACTAACTAACTAACTAACTAACTAACTAACTAACTACTAACTAACTACTAACTAACTAACTAACTAACTAACTAACTAACTAACTAACTAACTAACTAACTAACTAACTAACTAACTAACTAACTAACTAACTAACTAACTAACTAACTAACTAACTAACTAACTAACTACTAACTAACTAACTAACTAACTAACTAACTAACTAACTAACTAACTAACTAACTAACTAACTAACTAACTAACTAACTAACTAACTAACTAACTAACTAACTAACTAACTAACTACTAACTAACTAACTAACTAACTAACTAACTAACTAACTAACTAACTAACTAACTAACTAACTAACTAACTAACTAACTAACTAACTAACTAACTAACTAACTAACTAACTAACTAACTAACTAACTAACTAACTAACTAACTAACTACTAACTAACTAACTAACTAACTAACTAACTAACTAACTAACTAACTAACTAACTAACTAACTAACTAACTAACTAACTAACTAACTAACTAACTAACTAACTAACTAACTAACTAACTAACTACTAACTAACTAACTAACTAACTAACTAACTAACTAACTAACTAACTAACTAACTAACTAACTAACTAACTAACTACTAACTAACTAACTAACTAACTAACTAACTAACTAACTAACTAACTAACTAACTAACTAACTAACTAACTAACTAACTAACTACTACTAACTAACTACTAACTAACTAACTAACTAACTAACTAACTAACTAACTAACTAACTAACTAACTAACTACTTGGGGACGGCACGGTCTATGCGGGACCAGTAGATGTTAAGCCTGTTGCTCCATCTCGATCTCAATTGTGCCAGAGCAACTCTTGTTTTCCGCGGCAATACTCTGTGGGCGACCTCTATGAATGTCGTTCAAAGCTGCTGTATAAGACTGTGTGACATCCCAGGAGGAACTGTTAAGTCAGCATGACATTATGTTCCTTAACTGGGAGGACCTTCGTTTCCTCGTATAGGTGGTGCTCCGAGGTAATTTGCATGCAGCCCCTTACAGTCCGTAGGGAAGTATTTTTGGAAGCTTTGAATATTTCTCCACTAGGTATCACTCAACGAAGGAGACCACACTGGAGCAGCATAATTGACCACTGACCGGCCAATTGTTTTATAGGTAGCCAACAAGTTTTCTTTCTCCATTCCCCAAGTGCTGCCGGATAGCGCTTTGAGGACCTTGTTTCTACTTCGCAAGCTGTGCGTAATTGCAGTGGCATGAGCTGAGAGGTAAACAGGCAGTCAAAGGTAACCCACAAAATCTTTGGGTGGTTCACAGTTGGCATTTGGATTCCATCGACTACGACGTCTAAATTCATGTTTACAACAACAACTTATTCCTGGTTCTTCTAAACCGCTGTTCAGCCTATCTTTAACAACTCATCAAGTATCTCAGTATTTTCACAAATTTAAACCCTAACAACCCATGGTTAAGACCGTCTGAGGCAGCACAAGTCGACCACTAAGAAAATTTTAATATATTTTCACGCAAGAGCTTCCAAAAATGGCGAAGTTGTTACAACAATGCAACAATGTTTATGTTCAAAATATTATAAAGGGCTTGTCATCTCGTTTCCTGTTCGTTTCCTATAACAACGTGATGGTCGGAGAATAAGAGAAGCTAAATCCGAACCTCAGTGAACGGTAAGTCGGTTGGTTATCGTGGAAGTTTACTACGCGCGCACAATCAAGTACTGTCGAAGGGACTTCGGTTTGAGTTGGGTGATAAATACACTATTTGTATGATGCTATGATGGTTTATAGAAGGATAGGGGTTAAATTTAAGTGTAATGTACACAGAACACGATCCGAAGGGGGAAGGTCTAAATTCAAGACTTTGAACACAATTAGTTATGTTATGTCGTCATTATACAGATAAGGAGATAAGCTGGATCAAAGCCTAATAAGGCAAGAACTCGATTAGAAAAAGCTGGAATTGTTCGTCAACGAAAGTTTACAAACGATTTGATATTCAGGTCTATAATGTCAAATAAAATAAACATCTATAATGGGTCTCCAAAAAACTTACCCCAAAATGAATAACAAAAACTCTTGCACCGTTTCACCACACGCCATTTCGACAATAAGTAAAGCTGCCGTATTATAACTAGACGATAACGAATCCACTTTATCCGACAAAGCCATGCTGTCGATTAAGGCCTGCATAATATTAGCACCATATTTATGAGTAAAAATAATATCCGAACGTGAGGGAGGCTCCTGTGACAGGGCAGCATAAGGTTTAATGCTAGCCACACTTAATACTTTTTCATTTTGATGACGATCCAAAAGAGCCTGGAATATTTGCATAACAATAATGCGGGTGGGATCATGAGGATTGCGAGCCATTTTCAGTAAAGGTTGTAGAAAACTGGCAGGGAAGGCTTTTTCAAAGGAAACCGTGCTATATTGAGTACCAACTTTAAGTAGAGATTTCAACAAAATATTCTGTAACATTTGATCGCCTTTGCTTTTCTTGGAAAGATCCGGCACGGTATTCATAATAAAAAGCATAATTTCAATTTTCTGATAATCCGGATGATGATTAGCAAATTCACCCAAAGCATTGATAAGAGCCTCTTGATACTGCGATTCTTCCGGGGTAATTTCAGAGGTATTGCTGACACTGGTGCGAAGATGAGTAAGTAAATTATTGATAATATCAAGGGCGGAGGGACCAACACTTTCACCAGCAGCAATGGCTATAATCTTAGAGAGTACCACCGCCAAAGAAGTGCGAGTTTTAGGAGAAGATTTGAAATTATTATCTAAATGTTGCATGAGAGTTTCGACCACAGTATAAGAATACTGAGGCTGTATAGAAATCATAACTATACGGAAAGTATGTATGGCAAAGGTATTGGGCACCCATAGTTCATGACGATCCAAGTGTCTGAAAAGATAAAAACGAAAAAGTGGAAGATTAGAAGAAGGATTTTGGTGGAAAATTTAAAGTTAACACTTACGTTAATAGGGGTTTCAAAACACTTCTTATGTGACCAAAAGAAGCACGACCCACCAGCTCACGTAGAACTTCTTCAGCCAAAACAGGTGGAGTTACTGTGGTGGCATCTTCCACAGGTGTTAAATCGCCCGACTACAGAGTAAGTTAAGGATATGTTAGTTTTAAAGTGAACTCTTTGGGAAAATTAACAATTTTTTTGAAACACCAATTAGTTCTTTATAAATTTATCAATTGTATTTTAACTTTTTGTAAACTAATTAAACTAAATAAGGTAAATGCACCTAATGTCGGCATCACCCAGTAGTCGGCATCTTTTCAATAACAATGTAAATAAATAAGAAAAGCTGTACAAATTTATTAAGGTTTGATCTATATTTCATAGAAAATATAGTCTTTTTGCTTTATAAAATGAGTAAATTTAAGTAGGATTACTAATTTCCTCTATATTTGACGTTATTTAGTGACAGCTTTGCAGCATTTGTAGTACTGTCAGTTTTCTTAAAAAAAATTTAGTTTTAGTGCCACCTTAAACAAGTGAATATTTATATGAAATTAAATGATTTATTTGACAAAAATTGATTTAAATGAAAGAAAACAGTTGAAATATTCAATTTAAAGTGAAAAAGTTAGTTAAAAATATATTTTTTTGTAATTTTAATCGCTGCCGCCATTAGGAACACAATTTTTTATGAATTCTTATTGTCGGCATAGGGGTGCCGACTACTGGGTATTAAGTTCGATCATACGTATTCTATAGTCGGCACTCTAAAATTTATTATTTCTCTATAGAAAAATTGGGTATATTACTATGAAAAATTTCTATATAACAATTTTCTCTTCAAAAATTATACGTATAACAGTTATTTTTGTAAAAAAATTTATGTATAACTCTTTTCTCTATAAAAATTTATGTATATTACTCTATAGAAAATTGATTGTACAACATTTGTTTCTATAGAGAATTATGTGTATACAATTTTTTTTCTATAGAAAATTTTATGTATAACAATCTTTGATACAAAAAATTATGTGTATATCAGTTTTCTCTATGAAAAATTGTGTGTATACCCTTTTTTTCTATAGAAAATTACTTTTATAATAGCTTTTTCTACAGAAGATTACAATTTTCTACTACAGAATATAATTTTCTATACAAAAAATATGTGTATAATAGTTTTTTCTATTAAACATTTTGCATATTGAAATTTTTTCTAACAAAAATTGCTTCTTAACTGTTTTTTTTACAAAAAAAATTATGAGTATAACATTTTTTTTCTATAGAAAATTCCTAGTATGACAATTTTTCTATAGAAAAGTGTTCTTATTATAATATCCTCTACGAAACTTATGTTTAATTTTTTTCCTATAGGAAATTGCATATTTTTATAAAAGATTTTCTTTAAAAAACAGTACATATAACACTTTTCCCTATAAAAAATTACTTTTTTCTCTAACAAAAAATATAATATTGTATAGAAAATGTATAACTCTTTTTCTATAGAAAAAATTGTTATTATGTATACTTATTACAATTATAATTATGTTTGTAACATATTTTTCTACAGAAAAAAAACGATATTATTACAGTTATTTCTATAGAAAAAATTTAATTAAATATTTTCTTTGGAAAATTGTGTATATATCACTTTTTTCTATAAATAAATATGCTTTTTTCAAACAAAAAATCTACTGCCGACTATAGGGACACTTTTTGTCGAACTTAGGAACACTGGTGCCGACTATTGGAAAATGTGGAGTTTTTAACAAAATTTACAAATTACTAAAAACTAGTTATTTGTTTTTCAAAAAAGTTAAATAGATCTAAAACTTAACTAAACACATAATTGAAATAACTAAAAATCATCGTAATAATATTTTCCGACTCTTTAGGGGGATAGTTTGAAAAAGAGTAAAAAGTTAAACTGCCGACTATTGGTACATTTACCCTAATTAGAAGTAGAGGTGCAGTTTTTTTTGAAAAATTAAGTGAAAAAAACAGTTAGTAAAACTAATTAAATATAAATGTGTTTAAATTATTTCTTAACAAGATTATTAGGTATTATTATAAATAAAATTACCGCCAACATATTTTTCTTCAAAAACATAACGTTAACGCCGAACTTATAAAATGCTCAGTTTTAGTTTTGTAAATAAATATTTTGGTTTTTGTTCAAAGTGTAGTTTTTTTAAAGTTTTTTTTTTTTTTTTAATACAAAGTGTAGATAAGTGTAGACGCATTAAATAAAATTGCAAAAAAAAAAAAAGTATACGAAAAGAAATATTAAAAAAAATTTTATAAATAAAATACCATAAATATTTAATTTTTAACTGTGTACAAGCTAAATAAATATGACAGTTAAAACATAACACCTGTGCAGAGATACAAGCCGAGACAGCTCAAATCGGCGGCGGCTGGCCGCCGGTAATATTTTGCAAGCCGCGCCGCCGCCGATTTCTTTCGGCTCAAAAGCTAAGCCGGCTTAAACATAGCCGCTGATAAATATTGGAATCGCACATGTATTTCAGAAAATAATTTCACCAATTTGAATAGAGTTGCCACTATTTTAAATTCTTATGGCAAATTGAAAAAAGTTGCCACACAATATTGTGTTAATATTAAAAGAGTGAAAACTATTATAAATGTCCATTTTCTTCAGAAAAAACCTTATATAGAGATAGGTTTCTATATAACGGACTATTATACAGAGATTTTTCAATATAATAAACGCTTATAAGCTCAATTTCTGAAGAAAAACTTAAATTGAGCCGACAATTTAGCCGCCGCCGATATTTTCTATAATAAGCCGCCGCCGCCGACCTAAAATGGTTGCGCCGCCGCCGCCGATCATTTTGCATCGGCTTGTATCTCTGCACCTGTGTCTGTCTCTTATGTTTGCAATTCTCACCTGCATATTAAATAATAATGAGGGTACAATTTTCTCCATATGCTGTTTTTCCCAAATATTCTCCACTAAATCATCGGAGACAGTTTTACGTATCACACCTTGTAGTCCTTTAATGCCAGCCAAACGTATGCTATCACGCAGCTCGATGTTATCATTGTTGCCATGACACATTGAGGAAAATTTCGAAATGAAAAAATCATAGCGTCGATGATAGGAAGGAGTGTCCTCATTAATGTTGGCAAATTTTACAAACTGCAAAAAAGTTAGAGAGAGAGAGTGATAGTGAGAAGCAAACAAACGGAAAACGCCATAAAAAAACAATTATAAATATACAATGTAATAAAAAACAAGTAAGAAATTATAGTCGGGCGAGGCCGACCATATAATACCCTACACCTTTGACAAAAATATAATGTGATTTAGTTGCCATAATAAAGCATTTAAGTTGAATTGTACCTTGCCTTAGATATACCATACTTAAGCCGTTTATTGTTGAATAAAATTGTGGACATTTAAGTGAAATTTTGATGGGGGCTTTTCATAGGGGCTAGGGTCATATGAGAACCTATTATTATGGAATTCTTGGGGGTCATCAAGTCTTGTATACAACTTGATTATTGCAGCTTTTTGTCGAGATATGAGTATATTAAACATAATTATGAACTTAAAAGCCCTATTCGGCAGGTTCAGTTGTATGGGGGCTAGGTGAAATAATGGACCGATGTAAACCATTTTCAACAGGCTTCATCTACGGTACCATAAAATATCATGTGCCAAATTTCATTGAATTATCTACAAAATTGCAACCTGAAGTTTGATTACAAGTTTTAAAAGCCCTATTCGGCAGGTTCAGTTGTATGGGGGCTAGATGAAATAATGGACCGATGTAAACCATTTTCAACAGGCTTCATCTACGGTACCATAAAAGATCATGTGCCAAATTTCATTGAATTATCTACAAAATTGCAACCTGAAGTTTGATTACAAGTTTTAAAAGCCCTATTCGGCAGGTTCAGTTGTATGGGGGCTAGGTGAAATAATGGACCGATGTAAACCATTTTCAATAGGCTTCATCTACGGTACCATAAAAGATCATGTGCCAAATTTCATTGAATTATCTACAAAATTGCAACCTGAAGTTTGATTACAAGGATTACAAGCCCTATTGGGGGGTTCAGTTGTATGGGGGCTAGGTGAAATAATGGAACGATCTTAACCATTTTCAATAGGCTTCGTCAATAGAAGATCATGTACCAAATTTTATTGAATTATCTTCAAAATTGCGACCTGTAGTTTGATTACAAGGTTTACATGGACGGACGGACGGACATAGCTAAATCGACTCAGAAAATGATTCTGAGCCGATCGGTATACTTTAAGGTGGGTATAGGACCAATATTATTGTGCGTTACAAACATCAGCACAAACCTAATATACGCTCCCCACTAAAGTGGTGTAGGGTATAACTAGTAAGAGAAGAAGAAGAAGAAAAATGGGAGAGACTTAGGGAACTTAAGTAAACATGCTGCTGCTGCTACTTCTGCTTGGTGCTGTCCAGTCAGTGAAAGTATTAAGGTCAGGGTAAAATACACAAAATTAATATAGAAGAAATATAGTTGGCATTATGATGGTAGAATAATAAATGTCCATGTTTATGTCCTGTGGTTGTAGACATCATGCAAAATTTGTATTTTTATAACCCTCTTAAGCCATAACAAATTAAACTAATTTTGTTTTCCTTTTTAATAGAAAATGTAGGCAATTAAAATAAAATGTTTTTTAGCTGCAGTAAAGTATTAGATTTTGTTGCGTCAGAGACATTTTAAAACATGCGAACTAATCCTTTTTCAAGGTCGAGATATCGATTAAAGCTGGTAGATCAGGTATCAGCTATGGGCGTAAGATCATAAGAGTCTCTTAAAAGACTAATCAGATAATTCATCAGGGTTATTGTATAGAGTATTTGTAAAGTAATCGATTTCTCTTGACAGCTAGGGCATGATGTCCAAGTGTCGAAGTTGATGAAGAAGGTGGTGCTTATTCAACCACAGGGTGAGCTGACTAGAAGACTTGCCACCGCCCCATTGTGCTTCTTACACGCCGGTGGCAATTTTTGTACATGGTTCTAATGGTCTATGTACAAGAACTTGTACAAGCGAAAGTACTCGAGCTGGGATGGCCTCTGTTGAGTCGGCAACAGCATCTAGAGACGTAATCGGTAAACCGAATCACGAATCCATCAAATAATCCTTTCTAGGGTACGTTCCCTATACTTTACATTCATCCTGTATACTACACACTTAAAACCAACTCATTTCTAACTCTTAGTCCCACAATCACACCACTGTGGTGTTAATGTCGAAGTGCTTTACGTGTGGGCCTATTTCACGGTGGTCTTTTTTCAACCACTGGGTGAACTTTTGTATCGACTCAGCAACGCCCCATTGTGCTTCTTACACGCTGGTGGCAATGCATACGTGCACTTTGCTCAAGTTCTTAAAATATCTAATCTCTGACCATTGCTGCCTAGTTGCTTAACTCCAAAAATGCAAAAAATTACATCAGTTTACAACCACGCAATTGGGATGGCCTCTGTTGAGTCGGCAACAGCACCTAGAGACGTAAACGGTAGATCGAAGTACGAATCACTCAAACAAGCCGAGACTTTGTTCTTACTCACAGTGACACACTGTGGTAATTCTGACATGAATAGAGTTTACGCTGAACATACCTGGACAAGGAGGGAATATTCAATGGTATTACTTGTATATGATACCTTCCATCCATCACCATTCAACCCAGCACACTTCTCTTTTATCCAACACACTCATAAGAGAACAACATACGACAGATTCACTCTAGATATATGGGTGGATGAGTTCCGTATACCCCTATATTCATCCTGTATCATATACAATTAAAACTAACTTATTTCCAATGCTTAGTCCCACAGTCACTCCTCTGTGGTATCTGTTGTCATTCGGCAACAATACAGAACTTATATCGAAATACAGATTTCGACGTGCATCAGTCTTTTAACCGCAGTCTATTAACAGTCACTACGTGGATCCCGAAGGAACCTCAGCCAACTGACATACAGGACAAGTCCTGCGGCAACTGGCCTACTGTAGTACCAGATTATATCGTTTTCTGGTTAGACCCCATTGCAAATCTTCCAAGGACTAGCCAAGGTGTGAAATGTCATCACCAGTTTATAGTCCCGGCAGACTAAATGTACTGGTAGCACCTCTTTACCCCGGGATTGCAATACACCAATATGAGGGTCTTTCATCAAGGGTCCTCTGTGGGGTATCTGTTGTCTCTGCAACAGCATCGAACTTATCCCGAATTCTAAACTTTTTTACTTTTAACCGTCATGCTCCTCCCGCTAATTTGGGTTTAGGCCCCAGCCACGACGTGCACCCCGAAGGGAACTCTCCAATAACCGGGGCAATACTAAGTTCGATACTCTATGAGTTCCCGTGGTTCTATAACACATTTGATCATCACCAGGCAACTGTATTCATAGAGAAGATGGAAAACCGTTTCCTGTCATTGCAACTGCTACAAAATTCGTTGATGGGAAGGCCTAACCGACTTGCATGTCTGCCCAGCACCCAGTGTCCAGTTATTGATGTCAACAACCTTGATATATCTCGCCTATATCGTGTTATAGGTTACTCAGTGTGTTTCTCATTGAAAGAAGGCCACATTAACTTGCATTTTGTTTTTCAATTTAAAGTCTTATGGTTTAGTTGGTAAAGTAATGTCCTAAGGACTTCGATTTTAGTCTCATGCGACATGCATGTCTATCCAGCGCTTGCAAGCAAGCATTCTATCGCGGGTTAGAAGACACCTAGTGAGTTTCTTATTGAAAGAAGGCCTCCTTTTATAAAGAGAACCTAGAGATACTACTTTGAATAGAAAAGAACGGAGTTCCGACTAACAGCGTTGGGGATATCTAGAGCAGATAACATTCTAGTTCGTCTGTTTATTTTCACAGTAGTCTCTGTGTACAGGGACCTAAACTAGGACAATGTCAGACAGACGAACCATTCTTCACATATCATCCTTGCATTGTCCAGAACCAACACCACAGTTCCTTTTAAAATCATCAGTATAAATGCTGCTGTAAGATTTTTGACTTTGTACACACTTTTGACTTCATTGATATTTTCTTGATCTCCAACATTCGGAAGCGTTAAGCCTCACTGTGTTGCAAGCATTGATGTGCATTATTAATCGATAAGAATAAGTGCTTCTGAAGAACTAGTTCTTGGAGCATCTGATATTCCAATGTATACTAATCTATGAACTATATAGTTGATCTACAAATAAAATTCCTTTTAATTGAAGTCCATTGTACCAAAGATTCATAAGTAAAAAAGGGTCATATTATAGTCCTAACATCCTTTAACTATTTTAGGACTTAGTCTCATTATATCCCAAGCATTTTACTAAAAGTTTTGTGAATGGAAAGGAAACTTTGCAGTTCTTTAACTGCGACAGGTTGATGCTTGGAATCTTGGTCCAAGTTGTAAATAATTTCAGTTCTATATTGCTTGGATTTACCCTTAGGGCTCTGCCGGTGGCCTAGTTTTTAAAGTAACACCAAAGCATTGGACGTGATGTCAAGTCCAGAAACGTTCTTGATAATATGATATCACAATATCATCCACGTAAGCAATAACTTTTATCCCTATATTGTTCAGTTCAAAAAGTATCGAGTTTAAAATAATGAGCGAAAGTAGTGGAAAGATTCTGCTACCAAGATTTAAAATAACATTTCATCGCCCAGATTAGAAAGAGCTTTTTGAATTGCAGACGTATTTACATTACTGAAGGCACCTGTTATGTCTAAGAAGGCAATCCGGGGTAGAAGAGGTGCTACCAATACTTTTAGTCTGCCTGAGCTATAAACTGTTATAATCAAATGTATTCTCGGCTATTGCTTGGAATGATTTGACCGGGGAGCCTATTAATCTGGTAACACGGCAACAGAGCAGAGTTTTGGACTTTGTCTTATCTCGGGAAGAGAAAGTTGGTTAAATGACTGATCCACGATAAAGACTATAATTCGGGATAAGTTCGATGCTGTTACCGAGACAGAGGAGTGACTGTTGGACTAAGTGTTGGTAATGAGTTGGTGTCAAGTGTATTTTATACGGGATGGATGTAGGTGTATACTTCCAAGTTACAGGCTCACATTCGAGTGATCTTATTAGAACATGGATAAATCGATCTTTAAGGTA